ACCATCTATGGCATGATAGCCGCTCACTCAACGTTAGTGGCATATGGTCGAATACCAGCCAGGATACTGATAGATGCTTTTAGCCTAATTGTTGTGATAAACTTATTAAATAGGTAAGTTTTCAAATCTATTTGATAAGTTTCTTTGAATGCACTCTGCGACAGCAGAGAGCACCCCATTTTATGAAAAATGCAAGAAAAAAATTGCACTAACTTAAAAGTTAGCTTTTAGGTCGATTTTCTTCCAAAATGGCCGAATTTCAGCTCCCCCCAAAATTTCAACTGATGATTACTCCACGAACACTGAAGCTAAAGAAGTCGTTTTGAGCTCGTTGGAGTTTTTCTGAGTCCAAAATTGTGATACGATATTGAAAAAAATAAAATTTAGACAGAAAATAACAAAAATTTTGAAATTTTCGTTTTTTGCACCACGCTCGATTAGGCTTAACTTTTTGGCATCACCGAGCTTTCAAGAACTCATAACTTTGAACTGGTTCGACGAAATTGATTCATTTTCTCAGTCCCCCAAGATTTGACGATGGTCTTACGATAGAAATAGCAAAATTTGGAAGTCTTAAGTTTTTTGGGCAAGTTATGGCCGTTCGCGCAATTCACCAGTCTCAATTAGACTCTTCATACTGACATCTTCACTCTATTAAGGTAATTTGCAGTTTCAGAATTTTCAGGTGGACTGCTCCCGATGGTAGTGTAAGACCGGGACAATCCGTGAGTCAACTGAAGCAAGCTTCGGTGTTAACTCGGGAAGTAAAAATCAGTTTAATATTGGTGCCAGGCTATGCCCAGCATGCCAGATATTAAGCTGACAAGAACAGATACTACACATGATCTTAGCCAAAAGGCCGAGAAGCGATAGCTAAACCTTTTCCTAATTTTGGTACATGCCTTGAACACAACAATGAAAAAACAGCTCGCATCATAAAAATTTATATTTATCCGACTGGGTTGAGAGCTATGTTGCTCCCGGACCAACTTATGAAAGGTCAAGGGGGAAAGTTGAAAAGAGGTAGCCATAATGACACTTCGCCCTAACAAAACTCCCCTGCTGGCTAGTAAATCTATCGTAAGAGTACAGTAGACTACGTTATAACCATCTGCGTTTGTGCCGTTACATACGACATGGGCTTAACGATGTAGACAAAGACAGAATCTGCGGTTCTGCCTTAGGCATTTGAGTAATTCCGCTTCCATTTATATCCTGACTAGCATATAACTATGTACATTACTTTTAAAACACTCGCCCTCGCGCGAGAGTAGAAATATGCTCTTATACCATGTAAAATTTTGCACGCTCACGTTATAATTTATGCAATTCAAACAAAATTTGAAAAATTGACAATTTTCAGAATTTTTTTGGCCCAATGAGTTTTATGGCCAAATCGGCTGGTCAAAACCTACGGAGCGTGTACAGGGTGTCTTAGATGACCATCGATCGCATGATAGCTGCTCACTCAACGTTAGTGGCATATGGTCGAATACCAGCCAGGATACTGATAGATGCTTTTAGCCTAATTGTTGTGATAAACTTATTAAATAGGTAAGTTTTCAAATCTATTTGATAAGTTTCTTTGAATGCACTCTGCGACAGCAGAGAGCACCCCATTTTTTGAAAAATGCAAGAAAAAAATTGCACTAACTTAAAAGTTAGCTTTTAGGTCGATTTTCTTCCAAAATGGCCGAATTTCAGCTCCCCCCAAAATTTCAACTGATGATTACTCCACGAACACTGAAGCTAAAGAAGTCGTTTTGGGCTCGTTGGAATTGTTCTGAGTCCAAAATTGTGATACGATATTGAAAAAATAAAATTTAGACAGAAAATAACAAAAATTTTGAAATTTTCGTTTTTTGCACCACGCTCGATTAGGCTTAACTTTTTGGCATCACCGAGCTTTCAAGAACTCATAACTTTGAACTGGTTCGACGAAATTGATTCATTTTCTCAGTCCCCCAAGATTTGACGATGGTCTTACGATAGAAATAGCAAAATTTGGAAGTCTTAAGTTTTTTGGGCAAGTTATGGCCGTTCGCGCAATTCACCAGTCTCAATTAGACTCTTCATACTGACATCTTCACTCTATTAAGGTAATTTGCAGTTTCAGAATTTTCAGGTGGACTGCTCCCGATGGTAGTGTAAGACCGGGACAATCCGTGAGTCAACTGAAGCAAGCTTCGGTGTTAACTCGGGAAGTAAAAATCAGTTTAATATTGGTGCCAGGCTATGCCCAGCATTCCAGATATTCAGCTGACAAGAACAGATACTACACATTATCTTAGCCAAAAGGCCGAGAAGCGATAGCTAAACCTTTTCCTAATTTTGGTACATGCCTTGAACACAACAATGAAAAAACAGCTCGCATCATAAAAATTTATATTTATCCGACTGGGTTGAGAGCTATGTTGCTCCCGGACCAACTTATGAAAGGTCAAGGGGGAAAGTTGAAAAGAGGTAGCCATAATGACACTTCGCCCTAACAAAACTCCCCTGCTGGCTAGTAAATCTATCGTAAGAGTACAGTAGACTACGTTATAACCATCTGCGTTTGTGCCGTTACATACGACATGGGCTTAACGATGTAGACAAAGACAGAATCTGCGGTTCTGCCTTAGGCATTTGAGTAATTCCGCTTCCATTTATATCCTGACTAGCATATAACTATGTACATTACTTTTAAAACACTCGCCCTCGCGCGAGAGTAGAAATATGCTCTTATACCATGTAAAATTTTGCACGCTCACGTTATAATTTATGCAATTCAAACAAAATTTGAAAAATTGACAATTTTCAGAATTTTTTTGGCCCAATGAGTTTTATGGCCAAATCGGCTGGTCAAAACCTACGGAGCGTGTACAGGGTGTCTTAGATGACCATCTATGGCATGATAGCCGCTCACTCAACGTTAGTGGCATATGGTCGAATACCAGCCAGGATACTGATAGATGCTTTTAGCCTAATTGTTGTGATAAACTTATTAAATAGGTAAGTTTTCAAATCTACTTGATAAGTTTCTTTGAATGCACTCTGCGACAGCAGAGAGCACCCCATTTTATGAAAAATGCAAGAAAAAAATTGCACTAACTTAAAAGTTAGCTTTTAGGTCGATTTTCTTCCAAAATGGCCGAATTTCAGCTCCCCCCAAAATTTCAACTGATGATTACTCCACGAACACTGAAGCTAAAGAAGTCGTTTTGAGCTCGTTGGAATTGTTCTGAGTCCAAAATTGTGATACGATATTGAAAAAATAAAATTTAGACAGAAAATAACAAAAATTTTGAAATTTTCGTTTTTTGCACCACGCTCGATTAGGCTTAACTTTTTGGCATCACCGAGCTTTCAAGAACTCATAACTTTGAACTGGTTCGACGAAATTGATTCATTTTCTCAGTCCCCCAAGATTTGACGATGGTCTTACGATAGAAATAGCAAAATTTGGAAGTCTTAAGTTTTTTGGGCAAGTTATGGCCGTTCGCGCAATTCACCAGTCTCAATTAGACTCTTCATACTGACATCTTCACTCTATTAAGGTAATTTGCAGTTTCAGAATTTTCAGGTGGACTGCTCCCGATGGTAGTGTAAGACCGGGACAATCCGTGAGTCAACTGAAGCAAGCTTCGGTGTTAACTCGGGAAGTAAAAATCAGTTTAATATTGGTGCCAGGCTATGCCCAGCATTCCAGATATTCAGCTGACAAGAACAGATACTACACATTATCTTAGCCAAAAGACCGAGAAGCGATAGCTAAACCTTTTCCTAATTTTGGTACATGCCTTGAACACAACAATGAAAAAACAGCTCGCATCATAAAAATTTATATTTATCCGACTGGGTTGAGAGCTATGTTGCTCCCGGACCAACTTATGAAAGGTCAAGGGGGAAAGTTGAAAAGAGGTAGCCATAATGACACTTCGCCCTAACAAAACTCCCCTGCTGGCTAGTAAATCTATCGTAAGAGTACAGTAGACTACGTTATAACCATCTGCGTTTGTGCCGTTACATACGACATGGGCTTAACGATGTAGACAAAGACAGAATCTGCGGTTCTGCCTTAGGCATTTGAGTAATTCCGCTTCCATTTATATCCTGACTAGCATATAACTATGTACATTACTTTTAAAACACTCGCCCTCGCGCGAGAGTAGAAATATGCTCTTATACCATGTAAAATTTTGCACGCTCACGTTATAATTTATGCAATTCAAACAAAATTTGAAAAATTGACAATTTTCAGAATTTTTTTGGCCCAATGAGTTTTATGGCCAAATCGGCTGGTCAAAACCTACGGAGCGTGTACAGGGTGTCTTAGATGACCATCTATGGCATGATAGCCGCTCACTCAACGTTAGTGGCATATGGTCGAATACCAGCCAGGATACTGATAGATGCTTTTAGCCTAATTGTTGTGATAAACTTATTAAATAGGTAAGTTTTCAAATCTATTTGATAAGTTTCTTTGAATGCACTCTGCGACAGCAGAGAGCACCCCATTTTATGAAAAATGCAAGAAAAAAATTGCACTAACTTAAAAGTTAGCTTTTAGGTCGATTTTCTTCCAAAATGGCCGAATTTCAGCTCCCCCCAAAATTTCAACTGATGATTACTCCACGAACACTGAAGCTAAAGAAGTCGTTTTGAGCTCGTTGGAATTGTTCTGAGTCCAAAATTGTGATACGATATTGAAAAAATAAAATTTAGACAGAAAATAACAAAAATTTTGAAATTTTCGTTTTTTGCACCACGCTCGATTAGGCTTAACTTTTTGGCATCACCGAGCTTTCAAGAACTCATAACTTTGAACTGGTTCGACGAAATTGATTCATTTTCTCAGTCCCCCAAGATTTGACGATGGTCTTACGATAGAAATAGCAAAATTTGGAAGTCTTAAGTTTTTTGGGCAAGTTATGGCCGTTCGCGCAATTCACCAGTCTCAATTAGACTCTTCATACTGACATCTTCACTCTATTAAGGTAATTTGCAGTTTCAGAATTTTCAGGTGGACTGCTCCCGATGGTAGTGTAAGACCGGGACAATCCGTGAGTCAACTGAAGCAAGCTTCGGTGTTAACTCGGGAAGTAAAAATCAGTTTAAATAATATTGGTGCCAGGCTATGCCCAGCATGCCAGATATTAAGCTGACAAGAACAGATACTACACATGATCTTAGCCAAAAGGCCGAGAAGCGATAGCTAAACCTTTTCCTAATTTTGGTACATGCCTTGAACACAACAATGAAAAAACAGCTCGCATCATAAAAATTTATATTTATCCGACTGGGTTGAGAGCTATGTTGCTCCCGGACCAACTTATGAAAGGTCAAGGGGGAAAGTTGAAAAGAGGTAGCCATAATGACACTTCGCCCTAACAAAACTCCCCTGCTGGCTAGTAAATCTATCGTAAGAGTACAGTAGACTACGTTATAACCATCTGCGTTTGTGCCGTTACATACGACATGGGCTTAACGATGTAGACAAAGACAGAATCTGCGGTTCTGCCTTAGGCATTTGAGTAATTCCGCTTCCATTTATATCCTGACTAGCATATAACTATGTACATTACTTTTAAAACACTCGCCCTCGCGCGAGAGTAGAAATCTGCTCTTATACCATGTAAAATTTTGCACGCTCACGTTATAATTTATGCAATTCAAACAAAATTTGAAAAATTGACAATTTTCAGAATTTTTTTGGCCCAATGAGTTTTATGGCCAAATCGGCTGGTCAAAACCTACGGAGCGTGTACAGGGTGTCTTAGATGACCATCTATGGCATGATAGCCGCTCACTCAACGTTAGTGGCATATGGTCGAATACCAGCCAGGATACTGATAGATGCTTTTAGCCTAATTGTTGTGATAAACTTATTAAATAGGTAAGTTTTCAAATCTATTTGATAAGTTTCTTTGAATGCACTCTGCGACAGCAGAGAGCACCCCATTTTATGAAAAATGCAAGAAAAAAATTGCACTAACTTAAAAGTTAGCTTTTAGGTCGATTTTCTTCCAAAATGGCCGAATTTCAGCTCCCCCCAAAATTTCAACTGATGATTACTCCACGAACACTGAAGCTAAAGAAGTCGTTTTGAGCTCGTTGGAATTGTTCTGAGTCCAAAATTGTGATACGATATTGAAAAAATAAAATTTAGACAGAAAATAACAAAAATTTTGAAATTTTCGTTTTTTGCACCACGCTCGATTAGGCTTAACTTTTTGGCATCACCGAGCTTTCAAGAACTCATAACTTTGAACTGGTTCGACGAAATTGATTCATTTTCTCAGTCCCCCAAGATTTGACGATGGTCTTACGATAGAAATAGCAAAATTTGGAAGTCTTAATTTTTTTGGGCAAGTTATGGCCGTTCGCGCAATTCACCAGTCTCAATTAGACTCTTCATACTGACATCTTCACTCTATTAAGGTAATATGCAGGTTCAGAATTTTCAGGTGGACTGCTCCCGATGGTAGTGTAAGACCGGGACAATCCGTGAGTCAACTGAAGCAAGCTTCGGTGTTAACTCGGGAAGTAAAAATCAGTTTAATATTGGTGCCAGGCTATGCCCAGCATGCCAGATATTAAGCTGACAAGAACAGATACTACACATGATCTTAGCCAAAAGGCCGAGAAGCGATAGCTAAACCTTTTCCTAATTTTGGTACATGCCTTGAACACAACAATGAAAAAACAGCTCGCATCATAAAAATTTATATTTATCCGACTGGGTTGAGAGCTATGTTGCTCCCGGACCAACTTATGAAAGGTCAAGGGGGAAAGTTGAAAAGAGGTAGCCATAATGACACTTCGCCCTAACAAAACTCCCCTGCTGGCTAGTAAATCTATCGTAAGAGTACAGTAGACTACGTTATAACCATCTGCGTTTGTGCCGTTACATACGACATGGGCTTAACGATGTAGACAAAGACAGAATCTGCGGTTCTGCCTTAGGCATTTGAGTAATTCCGCTTCCATTTATATCCTGACTAGCATATAACTATGTACATTACTTTTAAAACACTCGCCCTCGCGCGAGAGTAGAAATATGCTCTTATACCATGTAAAATTTTGCACGCTCACGTTATAATTTATGCAATTCAAACAAAATTTGAAAAATTGACAATTTTCAGAATTTTTTTGGCCCAATGAGTTTTATGGCCAAATCGGCTGGTCAAAACCTACGGAGCGTGTACAGGGTGTCTTAGATGACCATCTATGGCATGATAGCCGCTCACTCAACGTTAGTGGCATATGGTCGAATACCAGCCAGGATACTGATAGATGCTTTTAGCCTAATTGTTGTGATAAACTTATTAAATAGGTAAGTTTTCAAATCTATTTGATAAGTTTCTTTGAATGCACTCTGCGACAGCAGAGAGCACCCCATTTTATGAAAAATGCAAGAAAAAAATTGCACTAACTTAAAAGTTAGCTTTTAGGTCGATTTTCTTCCAAAATGGCCGAATTTCAGCTCCCCCCAAAATTTCAACTGATGATTACTCCACGAACACTGAAGCTAAAGAAGTCGTTTTGAGCTCGTTGGAATTGTTCTGAGTCCAAAATTGTGATACGATATTGAAAAAATAAAATTTAGACAGAAAATAACAAAAATTTTGAAATTTTCGTTTTTTGCACCACGCTCGATTAGGCTTAACTTTTTGGCATCACCGAGCTTTCAAGAACTCATAACTTTGAACTGGTTCGACGAAATTGATTCATTTTCTCAGTCCCCCAAGATTTGACGATGGTCTTACGATAGAAATAGCAAAATTTGGAAGTCTTAATTTTTTTGGGCAAGTTATGGCCGTTCGCGCAATTCACCAGTCTCAATTAGACTCTTCATACTGACATCTTCACTCTATTAAGGTAATTTGCAGGTTCAGAATTTTCAGGTGGACTGCTCCCGATGGTAGTGAAAGACCGGGACAATCCGTGAGTCAACTGAAGCAAGCTTCGGTGTTAACTCGGGAAGTAAAAATCAGTTTAATATTGGTGCCAGGCTATGCCCAGCATGCCAGATATTAAGCTGACAAGAACAGATACTACACATGATCTTAGCCAAAAGGCCGAGAAGCGATAGCTAAACCTTTTCCTAATTTTGGTACATGCCTTGAACACAACAATGAAAAAACAGCTCGCATCATAAAAATTTATATTTATCCGACTGGGTTGAGAGCTATGTTGCTCCCGGACCAACTTATGAAAGGTCAAGGGGGAAAGTTGAAAAGAGGTAGCCATAATGACACTTCGCCCTAACAAAACTCCCCTGCTGGCTAGTAAATCTATCGTAAGAGTACAGTAGACTACGTTATAACCATCTGCGTTTGTGCCGTTACATACGACATGGGCTTAACGATGTAGACAAAGACAGAATCTGCGGTTCTGCCTTAGGCATTTGAGTAATTCCGCTTCCATTTATATCCTGACTAGCATATAACTATGTACATTACTTTTAAAACACTCGCCCTCGCGCGAGAGTAGAAATATGCTCTTATACCATGTAAAATTTTGCACGCTCACGTTATAATTTATGCAATTCAAACAAAATTTGAAAAATTGACAATTTTCAGAATTTTTTTGGCCCAATGAGTTTTATGGCCAAATCGGCTGGTCAAAACCTACGGAGCGTGTACAGGGTGTCTTAGATGACCATCGATGGCATGATAGCTGCTCACTCAACGTTAGTGGCATATTGTCGAATACCAGCCAGGATACTGATAGATGCTTTTAGCCTAATTGTTGTGATAAACTTATTAAATAGGTAAGTTTTCAAATCTATTTGAGAAGTTTCTTTGAATGCACTCTGCGACAGCAGAGAGCACCCCATTTTATGAAAAATGCAAGAAAAAAATTGCACTAATTTAAAAGTTAGCTTTTAGGTCGATTTTCTTCCAAAATGGCCGAATTTCAGCTCCCCCCAAAATTTCAACTGATGATTACTCCACGAACACTGAAGCTAAAGAAGTCGTTTTGAGCTTGTTGGAATTGTTCTGAGTCCAAAATTGTGATACGATATTGAAAAAATAAAATTTAGACAGAAAATAACAAAAATTTTGAAATTTTCGTTTTTTGCACCACGCTCGATTAGGCTTAACTTTTGGCATCACCGAGCTTTCAAGAACTCATAACTTTGAACTGGTTCGACGAAATTGATTCATTTTCTCAGTCCCCCAAGATTTGACGATGGTCTTACGATAGAAATAGCAAAATTTGGAAGTCTTAAGTTTTTTGGGCAAGTTATGGCCGTTCGCGCAATTCACCAGTCTCAATTAGACTCTTCATACTGACATCTTCACTCTATTAAGGTAATTTGCAGGTTCAGAATTTTCAGGTGGACTGCTCCCGATGGTAGTGTAAGACCGGGGACAATCCGTGAGTCAACTGAAGCAAGCTTCGGTGTTAACTCGGGAAGTAAAAATCAGTTTAATATTGGTGCCAGGCTATGCCCAGCATGCCAGATATTAAGCTGACAAGAACAGATACTACACATGATCTTAGCCAAAAGGCCGAGAAGCAATAGCTAAACCTTTTCCTAATTTTGGTACATGCCTTGAACACAACAATGAAAAAACAGCTCGCATCATAAAAATTTATATTTATCCGACTGGGTTGAGAGCTATGTTGCTCCCGGACCAACTTATGAAAGGTCAAGGGGGAAAGTTGAAAAGAGGTAGCCATAATGACACTTCGCCCTAACAAAACTCCCCTGCTGGCTAGTAAATCTATCGTAAGAGTACAGTAGACTACGTTATAACCATCTGCGTTTGTGCCGTTACATACGACATGGGCTTAACGATGTAGACAAAGACAGAATCTGCGGTTCTGCCTTAGGCATTTGAGTAATTCCGCTTCCATTTATATCCTGACTAGCATATAACTATGTACATTACTTTTAAAACACTCGCCCTCGCGCGAGAGTAGAAATCTGCTCTTATACCATGTACAATTTTGCACGCTCACGTTATAATTTATGCAATTCAAACAAAATTTGAAAAATTGACAATTTTCAGAATTTTTTTGGCCCAATGAGTTTTATGGCCAAATCGGCTGGTCAAAACCTACGGAGCGTGTACAGGGTGTCTTAGATGACCATCTATGGCATGATAGCCGCTCACTCAACGTTAGTGGCATATGGTCGAATACCAGCCAGGATACTGATAGATGCTTTTAGCCTAATTGTTGTGATAAACTTATTAAA